TTCATTTCCTACAATCCTCCATCAATTCATGAGCGGGGCTATGACTGATTAAGAATTTGACCAGACGGCCAGTATTTGGGAGGTAGGGGTAGATACTGTTGTCATTCCTAGACTTCGAGAAATTTGCCTCGCGTATCAGCGCCATGGGTAGATTTCTACACCAAAGGTGTGTCTGACATGTTTTAAATGTGTGTTCAACATGGATTAGAAGTTCTGTGGGGATTTTTGACCAATATTAAGGGTGGGTTAAGAAAGATTTGGACTAGTCGTACTCATTCGAAGACATGGAAGTCTTATTGTAAATCTAGGAATAGAAAACCAATAACATTTGTTGGAGACATTACGATTAGATAAATAGTACATATAAGTTGATTGCACTGATTCTGGACTACAAAGGGGAACTTGCTTCAGTTCTCAAGTTTGAACTTCATTATATGGTTGATTTGAGTGAAATTATTATTGTTCAAAAATTGAATGCCATGTTAGAAGTTTTTAATAACGAAACTCTTACTTCCTTGCATGTTTACAAACCTACGATAAACAAATTTTTTCCAGAGTATATTACAATTGCAACATGCTTTCGTGAACGTTTATCTGATTCAGAATTGTATCCCTATGTCATTCCTATGAAGGATAAATGATGCACTTATTATTTGTACATTTCTGATATTTATAAAATTGATATTATTTGTGATCATCGCTTTAAGATTGATAATTTTAAAATTCTGATGGAGTATTACTACAATTGTATTTTAGATGAAAATAGTTATTTTATGATCATTTAGTAGAATGGACAAAACAGAGAGATAATGTTATTGATCTTTTTGAGCCATTATTTAAAGAATTTCAAGAGATCTATGATAGTGCCGGCACTGGGACCAGTAACGGTGCCATGGGGTGGCGGTACTGGAACAGCTAGTTCCGGAACCATACCGTGTCCACCTTTAGGTAACGGTGCACATTTACCAAACCACATGGGATGTTGGTCCAATAAACTCTTCCACACACGTCTAATTTTTTGTCTCATTTGTTAGCTTCGACCGTCCATGGGCAATCCAACATATTGTGTATTGAGTTTTTGTCCCTCCTAGCGTTGTCCCATTTCAATTATAATGTTATGTATTTGCCATTATCCATTAAAAAAAGGAAGGGAGAGGATGATATTATATAATAAATTTTGCCCTAAACACATTTCTCTTTATACTATTACAAGAATGCAAAAAAAAAAGGCATCATTCAGAAATATATATTTAAAAACATGGAAAGTATGATGTGAACTATGCACATGAAATTGCCTTAAATCCTTCTTTCTCTAGAACTTCAGCTATGGATATATCACATGTCTTCACAATTCTACCATCCTCCTGAGAGAGAAAGAGAGAGACGGAAAAAGTAGAATTTTAAAAGGAGAAACTAAGCATTAGACATGTTTGCCATAATTCAAAATAAACACTTCGAATGCAACAATGCACGACTCAAAAGAGTTTAAGCAGTTTGTTTAGACCTTTTAATAATTTCATATTCACTATAGTACTATCATGTAAGAAATCAATTTACATAAATACATCTCTACACCCTGCATGCCATTACTTCACTTCAATTTATATGAAAAATGTTAATGTGAAAAGTACCAAACGCTCCCTTACATATATATGCGTGCTATCTTTAAGTTTATGTTAATTACCATGATATTTGTGTACCCCTAGCATTTGTTTAAAAATTTATACTCTTTTATGGACCGAGCTAGGGGTACACCACATGGTGTACCCCATATACATCCACTCCACTTGAATCTTCTCTCCCCCTCATCTCTCCATTCCACCTCTCATTTGTGCATTCTCCATCTCTCTCATCCCATCTCTCTCTCTCTCTCTCTCTTCTTTTTCTTCTTTTTCTCTATCAGAGCTCATCCTTTCATGGCCTCATCTTTGCCGGCCCACCATTTTCGTAGAGATGCTGGTGCAATTTTCTAAGTACATAGACATTAAATATCTGTTTTATAACACTTACAGAACTTTAGTGTCTGTGAAACTAAATAGTGCTAATGGGAGTGTTTTTCCTCCTTTCTTAAACAAAAGAAAATTTGTGAAATGATATTGATACTGTACTGTTTCACATATTTAATGTGTAAAATTTTCATCCAGGTCACACAAATAATAAATGTCTATGATCGAGAATTACATATATATATATATATATATATATATATATATATATATATATATATATATATATATAGTGTCTATGTCTATGTAACTAAGTAGCGTTAATTGTAACTTTTTTTACAATATAGAAAAATTGTGAAATGTTCTTTATGTCCCATTACGTGGTATATTTGACGGATTTAATTTTTAAACATGTTACACAGATAATAAACATCTATTTCTGATGAATTACAGAGAGTTTTTGTCTATGTACGGTGGTCAGGGCACAGAAGATCAAAGAAGACGAAGTGTTCACCAAGTTGGATCTTCCACCGATGCACCAGAAGGAGGAAGGTGAACTCGGTGATTTCACTTTGGAAGAATGAGGAAGACGAAGGAGGAAATCTAAGAAAAGGGCTAGTCTTTCAGTAGTTTCCCACTCCCTGCTTCGCCAGAGAGATTCGCGACCAGTAGTTGCCCGCTCTTAGCTTCGCTGGACAGATCTGTGAGACAGAGAGTGAGAGAGAAAGAAAGCAAGGGAGGGGGTTATAGAGAGAGAAGAAAGAGGGAGGGGGGATATATGGTGTACATGGATAATGTACACACATGGTGTACACATAACTTTTTCCCTCTTTTATAGTTAGTGCCTATACAAGTTTCGGTTTTTAGGAGACAATAATTCAAGGTAAAACTCAGACAAATACTTCTAGAAATCTGTAATTTTATATTAATACTCTGAAATTCAATAAATCATGAAATTGCTTTCAAAATTAAAAAATTTTACATCACTATTCTAGGTTGCCAACTAAGCCGAATACATGTCAATGATGGCTGAACAATTTTTATGTGTGAGTTGACAATAAAAAAATAAACAAAATAGATTAATTGCATTATAACTAGATCTAGGGGTGGGCACGGGCCAGGCCGAGCCAATATTTGTCAAACCCGGATCCGACTTGTTTTTATTATTACGGTTCGGGCCGAGCATGGTCTTTGAAAATTTATAATTGGAATCGGAGCTAAACCAACTTTTTTAAAACATGCTGTTAGTATGAACCCTTATGAGGTTGCATGTTGTCAACTCCCTTCTATATACCAACCCTACTTGCTTGACAAAAAGAACTATGGAATGGTTAGTGGATCTTAGACCCACCCTCAGCCTCAAGTCATTCTTAACAAGAGACTTTAGAGGAAGGATCTTCACAAAGACTTTTACTCCTTATGTGTGTAGCCTTATATAAGAAAGTTTCCTCTTTTGGTTTAGGACAATGAATTTACAATCTATCATTTTCACACACATGGAAGGATTACTGTCGTTTTAGGGGTAGAAAATCGATAATATTTGCCAAGGACATTATGATCTTGTGGAACAATGCTAAATTAAAGAAAAAATTTATCATGTGATTGATATGAATGAATTTATTCTTATTCAAAATTGTCCAACGTGTAGTTTTTAACAATAAAATGTTATCTTTCTCATATGTTTGCAAATCAAGACAACGAGTAACATATTCTTTTTTGAGTATATGAGCATTGCTACATGTTTTTTGTGAATTTAGAGCTAATCCACTTTTGTATCCCTATGTGTTCTCTATGAGGTAAAAATAGTGTGCTTATTATTGGTATATTCTTAATATTTATAAAATTAGCATTACTTGTGATCTCCGCTTCAAAATTTAGAATTTTAAAGTTCTCATGGAGTACTACTGTAGTTGTTTCTTGGATGGCAATGGTTATTATAATGAGCATCTTATTCATTGGAAGACTTACATGGATATAACCATTAACTTTTTTGAGTTTTTATTTAATTAAAGAATTCTAAAATTTGTACGATCACCCTCTAGAAGAAAATGAGTCACAAGTTTGTACTGCACTGGAAGTAAAGAAAGGATTTAAAGAGGTCATTGGTGGGCTTTTCTTGAAGAAAAGTAAGAGTAGCTCTATGTCCACAAGTGTAAGTGGTAACACAATAAGTTCACACAACGAACTTGTGATGTACAAGGGCGTCCCGTGCAACTACGATGAAGAAAACGAAAATGAGTTTGACGTCTTCGAATGATGGATGCGGAATGAACACATGTTCCTGTCACTTGAAATGCTTGCTAAACATGTGTTATCTATGCCACTGTCAACGGTAGTTGTGAAGTAAGAGCCTAGTTCTAGCCAAAACATTTTGACCTACTTTTGGAGTAGTCTCATCGCTGAATCACTAGGGACACTAGTTTGTAACCAAGATTGGCTCTAGGCGAGGCATCGATGACAAGAGGCGGGCTACGATATGGATACACAAAACTACATGAACAAAACCACATAGGGAAGTGGTAGTTCAAACGAGTAACTTATCTAACATTATATTTTGATAAATGTAAATTAGTTTTTAGGTGAGCAATTTATAAACTCCTTCGAGAGTTTCTTTACGGTTCTTTACCTCGTCGTTTTATTAAACCGTCAAGGCATTAAATGTAGCTGTGATTTATATACTATCCAATTTTCATTATTTTACAAACAACAACTACACTTAGACAAATATTTTAGTCATATACTCCGTATCATTCTTTAAAAAAAAGTTCTCGAACCGGAACCAGCACTATTAGTGCTGGCCACCGGGGACGGGTGGCGGTTCCTCCCTTCGGCGGTACCAGAATCGTACCGTGCCTTCTGATCCATATCATGTAGAAATTTAAAAATAATATTTAATAGTTTATAATTTTTTTAATTTTAAACCTACAATCAACCAAATTAAATTGAAAATAATATACTCCTCTTCGAGTGATCTCATAAAAGAACTCTTCAATGTTTGGGCCGGATATATGAGCCAGTGAGAGTGATCGGCCAGTAACATCCACAAATCTTATTCTCCTCAACTTCAATATCACTGTTGCCGTGAGGCGGTGATTCTTCAACCTTCTTCGTTTTCTGTTTAGGAATGGTGAACTGTTCACAGACTTTACCGGCGAGCAATGGCGGCGAGGAAACCGCAGCGCTGGATATGAGGCCGGGCGGTATGATCGTTCAGAAGAGAGACGACGGCGTCAGCGGGCCCACTTCAGCTACTGTTGTCACCCTCAAACTCTCATATGGCTCCCAGCAACTCGACCTCTCAGTTCCATCCGATTCCACTTTCGGTAGGTTTCTCTCCGCCTATCTGCTAGTCTAATTCGTTTGGTACTCTAATTTGTTTATGTTACAGTATATTTGGGAAGTTTAGTTTGAGTTATGAGAAGTGCTTAGAGTCGGTTAGCATCTGTTAGCTTGTTGAGTGGCAGCCTGTGCGGATAAATACTCCCCCCCTCTCTCTGTAAAAATCATCAAGGTATTGAAATAATATCTTTTTCCTCAGTTCTATCTCTCCTGTTCATTTCCGCCATTAATGGCTGTTCTGTCTTCTTCCAAGCTCTCCTTCTAAATTTGAGCAGCTTCCTACAATACTGTAACATTGGTATCAAAACATTCTCGATCGTGAATCTATTATTGCTTTTATCCATTTATTTGGTATCAATTGATTTAGTATTGATCGTGTGATTCGTATTTTCACCCATCTCTGATTTGTTTCCATCGCTGAGCGATCAGACCTAGACGCGTGCAAGGCTCAAAAGCCAAAGATGGAGGCTACAATCCAAAAGATGTTCGAACGACATCACGAGGAGATGAAGTGTCAGCTTCTTGAACAAAGAAATTTGATGTAAGAACACATTAAACTGCTTGCGATTCGATTACAAGATCTGCAATCATTTAGAGGCTGCCATCCATCTTCAGGAGAAAGCTCTTCTACACGTATTAAATGTAGAAATCAGTTCCATATCAACCCCAAATTTGATATTCCTATGTTTGTGAGACGTAACCCTAGAGAGTGGACCAAGAAGTGCACAATATACTTTTCTCTTTGTAATATACCTGATAAGAAGAAAGTGCAATTGGCTGCGAGTCTGCGACATCTTCAAAAGGTGAAGCTGTGGTGTGGCTCAACAGTTTTAGACGAAATTGGACCAATATTGAATGGGAGGAATTCATTATTGATGTATGCACTAGATATGATGCTGTTGACAATGATGTGGTTGAAGAATCTAACAAGTTGTGTCAGGCTGGAAGCTTGAAGGATTACAAACTGATAAATTTGAGGAAATGAAAGGAGTGCAGTTGCAACAAAGACCTATGGAGGCAATAAACATTCGGGGAAACTCTGACAGGTTTTCAAATTCTTTCAATCAGCCCACGGGGAATGCTATACCATTATTAGCTAAACCTGAATCAACTAATAAATCCAATGAAGATCATGTGCTGTCAGATAGTGTAAAGATTTCATTGGACCACTACCTTTATGTTGCTGGTGGCTCTAAAATAGGGAATACACCTCAATCACTGACTGAACTAGTGGCTCTAAATCAGGGGATACACCTTGATGTTGCTGCGGCTACTTACACTAAATTCTAAGCCCTCTACCAGCAACATCCAGTCTTTGCCACACGGAAATCCAAACAGTGATGAGCCATTTAAATGGGGATACAAGGTGGCTGACCTACCAACTTTGGATGTTAATGATTCAGCTATCTCACTTCATCCAATTTTTGAGAAAAATGAATGTCGGAGGAGGGTTACTGACTTACTGGTCTGATAGAGATAGAAAGTACTTCAGACTATAGGGACTCTAAGTTGGCTAAAGGATTCAAACACTACATGGAGCCCATCATTTTGTCAAAGGTGACAGTGGTTGAGTAATACAACTTTCAAGGTACACAAGTCACTATAAATTTCAAATACTTCAGACGGAAATTACAAGGAACAAATTTTACTTCTGACAGAATTCATGTCCTTAGGGAAGCTCAGCATAGAATCTGATTGGCCCAATAAAGCAGCTACTAGACTTCAACCTTTAGTTTTATTGGTCAGGACACATTGGTTAATCCCTTGAACAGAACAATTAAGGCAAGTTACTACATGGAAATGGGGCGAAGACTTAGCCGTGGGAAAGGAATTCATTCAGCTTCTCATATACAACTTCATAGCCTATGATCTTGCCAACAAATTGCAATGCCAACGGGAATCCATCAGTGCTTTAGAAGTTGCAGTGCTTGGTGGTTATAGTTTACAAGGGTGTAACAGTGAGCTTGGCATTCAGTGGTGGAGCATATTAAGCACAATCAAAAGGAATGTCAGGCCACTACAAATGACTTTTGAATACTTGGGAATAGCTCATGTTTGTGAGGCGCAAAACAGAAGAGCTTGATAGGGCTATTGGTACAGAATGAAAATCTCAACACATATCCATTAGTCTTGACATTATAAGCTAATGAATTTCTCATATGGAATACAAAACGTGACTTGCCAATCAGATTTAAGCTTCATAGATTTTGGACAAAAGCATTGCAGCTCATTAGCTTGAGTGGAGGCATAGTATGTCCACTTCTTTCCAGATGTTAAACCTTGAGGGCAAGATTGTTCAATAGGGGATAATATGTTACACTATATTTGGGAAGTTTAGTTTGAGTTGATAGAAGTGCTTAGAGTCAGATAGCATCTGTTAGTTTGTTGAGTGGTAGCCAGTGCGGATAAATACTCCCCCAATTCTCTGTAAAAATCATTAAGGTAATGAAATAATATCATCTTCCTCAATTCTATCTCTCTCATATATCTTTCCTGTTCATTTCCTTCATTAATGGCCGTTAACGTCTTCTTCAAAGCTCTCTTTCTAAATTTGAGTAGCTTCCTACAAGACTGTAAATAGTTTACTTCATTTGTGCTAGGTCCCGATAACGGTGTTGAGCTCCGATACCACTTGTTAGGGTACGCAACAGAAGATATGATAAAATTAGGCAGTAAAAATAAAGAGCAAAGAGGACGCCAAAGATTTAACATGATTCACCCAAAACTTTTGGGCTACGTCCACAAACAAACAACACTTCTATTTCTTCTACTATTACAAATAGTAGGTACAAGTGTTCAATCTCTTCCACTATTACAAACAGTAGGCACACACTATTGTTGTAGTGAGTACAGGACATTGGTACGATGTCGAGCCTCCATCTCGAACTGGGGTAACAGAAACAACATCATTTTTTTGTTTAGTATTGATGGCCTCCATCACAGACTATTGTTTTTCAAGTGTATTGCAAGAGAACTAGTGATCATAGATCTGTGTTTGATTATTTTTAATACCAGGGCTCCGATACCAATTGAGTTAAAATATCAGATCTGGAGTATATAAAACAGTGTTTTATTGTGGTACTTCTGTCCAGAATTATGTGTCCATACATATAAATAGAGGACTAACCAACACAACCATTACTAACAAACACACCAGTTACTAACCAACACATCTTTCAAAAATTAACACAACTGCCAGAAAACTAACTTTTTTTAAAAATTAAACTAACTTCTGGACTGAAATTAACCGACAATACCCTAGTCAACGCCAGTGTCCACTGATGTTGGAGCCAAACCTCTACCAGAGAATCATCAAGGCGAGAGAGCCCAAGGGCTTGGAGGTCATTACCAATTGCGCTGAGGGGTTAGATCAAAGCACGGACAAGAGAACATGAGACTCAGAAACCAAGGCTCAGAATCCAAGATAAGAGCTAGAGCACGTAGGCCATAAACGGAGGCCAAGCCTATCAGCGCTGAGCAAAGCCAGGCTCCGTCCTCTCATAGTCCAAATGGATAAAGACTTGGACGAAGGAGGGTAAACCATCCTAAATCCAAGTCCCCATCAGGTCATGCTATGTTTTTTCCAACTGTTGAAATTATGGTATTTGTTGCAAGGCTGATGTATAATCTCAATTACGTGTCTGGAATCTCTATTACAGTTTGTCTGGAAGTGGACCAAACTATGAAGTTCATGTCTCTTTTTTTATTTGAACAGTTTTGTCCTGTAATTTGTGTTCTTGTTTATGACATGTCTGCCACTTTTGATAAATTCTATCTCTCACAATACCATGGACATATGCTAATGATTTGAATTATAGGTTTAGCTAGTTGATCTGCATTGGATCTTAGAGTCAGTAATTTTCTGGAAGCACAATTATAATTTAAAGGACAGAGTATGAGAATGTTCGATGCATTAATCGATTAAACAAATTTAAGCTTTCTTTGTAATAACTCTGCAGTGTTGTGATAACAGTACACAGACTGCTGTACTGTAATGGGCTCATGGGAAGTATATATGACTTGTTTCCTACATAATTTTGCATTGTGCTTTCAGGTCAGGTAAAAGATATTATTTCCCAAGTCATTGGTGTGGACCCTAAGGTCCAAAAACTTCTGTTCAGAGGTAAAGAAAAAGATGATGAAGAATATTTGTCCATGGCTGGTATAAAAGACAATTCAAAAGTTATTCTTATGGAGGAGACAAGTATAGAGAAAAAGTCTGAAGAGGCTGAGGAAAAAAGTGAAACATCAAGAGGAGGTGAAGCTGTTGAGAGAGAGTCTGAGGAGGTAAATAGTGAAACATCAAGAGCGGCTGAAGCTTTTGAGAAACTTACTGAAGAAGTTGATGTAAAAAGTGAAGCATCAAGAGGAAGTGAAGCTGTAGGGGTTGTTAGAGCAGAAGTGGACAAGCTCTCGGATCAGGTTAGGTTGATTCCTGTCATCATCATCATTATCATCATCCTCATCGTCATCATCTTCACTACCACCACCACCACCACCACCACCATCATCATCATCATCATCAGAATTTGTATCTTCATGTTAGTGCCTAATGCTAGTGTTTTTATTTTTCTAGGTCGATGCTTTACAAGTAGTTATTAATGGCGGGACCAAGGTTGATGAGAAGGATATTGTTTATTTAACTGAGATGCTGATGAGGCAGTTATTAAAATTGGATGGCATAGATGCGGAAGGAGAAGGGAAGGTGAAAAGGAAGGAGGAGGTAACGTTTTTTTCTGGGGTTTTATTATACCGACCCCACCTAGCTGAAGAAGCCTTAGTTTTGGGTTTTTACTTAGCTTACTGATCTTAGTTAAAAGGTTCTTTTATTAGGCAATTGGCATTCCTCACATAGGAAAGTGTAGCATTCGCTTTGTCTGACGTTTAGATGCCTTCTGTCATCAGCCCAATCCTTTTTCAAAAAAAAACTTTCTACCCCATTATCTTTTTAACCTTTTGAAATTTGAAGTATTATATTATGGCATGTTTTGCCGTGAGAGTGTATCATACCACCTCAATCTTTTTAGTGTTTGAGTTCAATATATTATTCAAGCACTCAAGGCAATCACATTTTTTAAATTCAGATACTACTTGACACATTGTTTTTATTTATGCATGTTTACTTCAACTAGAGCATGGACTAAATTTAGAGGGTTGTTCATAGGTATTGGACTATGCATCGTGCTGTAAGGAATTCACCTGAACTTTTTTCTTGGAATGCATGTGTAGATATTGAAATTCTGACAGACTGAATTTTTCCATGCTTAAGTTTAAGATATACGTAGTACTCATGTCTTAATTTCGAATAATATAGTCACCGCAATCTTTAGCATAACAATTTTTATCCATCATCCAACCAGGTGCGGAGGGTCCAGAGACTAGTCGACAACATGGATGCTCTGAAAGGAAAGAATTTGAATCCTTCCCCCGGCGACTCAAATCCTCCCCAACTTGGTGACAACGCTAGCACCGTGTCGGTTAAAACTCAATGGGAAACCTTTGATTCTGGTGTTGGCAGCCTCAGTCCTCCACCACCTCCAAGTTCACCTCCGCCCCCATCTTCTACCGTGGCAACCCACGACCGGGAAGAGTTTGAGTAGTCATTATTTAACGATACGTGACTTCATCTCTTCCCGTTGTTTGTTGAGTACGCGATCATTAAGGTGCCAAGGTCTCACACTTCAGAGTATGTATAAGCATTTCCTCTCTGTGCTGTTTCATTGCCATTTATATTTATATGGTCCTTATGGTGTGGACTGTGGACCTTTTTGATACTAGATGAAGGTTAGAAAACACATCCTTTTCAGCTTAGTACTCATAATGCTTTTTTGTTAAGCAGGATTCTTTTTTGTACTCCGTAATTTATTTCTTGGGTATTTACCCTCAAAGCAATGTTTGTTGTATTATTATGTGCAAATTTGCTGCAATTAATTTCTTGGGTATTTACCCTCAAAGCAATATCATGGAATTCGTTTTGGGGTGTAATTTTAAACTGTCAAAATTGTAATATAAAATATGTGCAAAAAACAAATACGGAGTATATATTTTTAAAAAATTTAAACAAAACTTAATCATGAAAAGGCATTTTGAAAAGATGAACGTTATACTATGTGAACTTTTGAAGATCAATTTAACTTGCAAACATTAACATGTAACACTATTCATCTCATAAAAATTATTGTTTCCCAATACACTTGTTTACAAAAAAAGAAGTCCAATGTGGAAAACAGATGATAGCTTTCATTAAAGAAAGCCCCCACCTTAGAACGAACTTAGCAACAAGTTGAAGTTCTTATAGAAATCATCATAAATAGAACTAAAACATAGAAAAAAGTATCAAAATAGAATTTTCATGTTTTTTTTTTGAAATAAGACTTTGCACTGTAGTAATATGACAATGTACATGTGTACATTACTATACTTTTTGGGTAAAGTACATGATCGTATTTGGTAATGTTAATCCTATTTCGGGAATAAAAACATGGAAGCCTTATTTTGATATATTTTTAATGTTTTAATCCTACTTTAGTCTTTCTCTCAAATTCTTATTTTTGAATAAAATTTAATGATGAGTATAATTTGAGTCGGTTTAACTCTGCATAATGAGTTGCCCCACTACGCCCCGTTCATTCCACAATTCAGGATCGGTCCAAAAGGTGGAATTGCCTACCCAGGCGCCCCCACCCCCCGGCCCGACAGAAATGGTGGAGGAGGTAAAACATGGTGACTTAGTCGACCAAGAACGTTAGACCCGTGCTTACCGCGCACAACGAGCCTCACCCTTTATGGGATGTATCTGGGCCAGACAGTTGAAGCCCATATGCTTGGGAAGAAAATATAGTCCACGTGATATGAGTCCATTACTCAACGAAGTGAACCTCATCCTCGAGGGTACCTCAAACTTGGTCGGAGGATCAATGAAAGAGGGAAAATCAAGTTTTGATTGTAGATTGGTGGCAAATGAGTAAATGTTACACCTGGTAGTCTGGTACTTACAGTGATCTCATGCTTAAGATAGTATCATCTCAAGTCTTAACGCAATTTCCAAGAGTCGAACTTAAGTCTTACCCCTTATCACTTCTTGTCTTTGCGAACTATGTAACACCGCCAACTAAACTTTGGAAGGTATATATTTTATATTAGCCGGCTTATCGCATTTGAGCCCCACCACAAAAATATCCCGACCACCGACTTGAACTTACAAATTAGTATACACCGCTTATCCCTACTCGTTTGGTCATTCACCAATTAAGGCTCTGTTCTTATGGGTTGGAAAAATTATCTTTTATCTCCTTTCACTTTCTTCCAATTTCTTTTAGTTTCTTCCAACAATGATTTAAAAGTATTTATATATGATTAATACTCCGTATAAAATAACATTATATATTCAAATTTATAACATAAAACATCAAACACAGACAAGAATGAGGTTTTTTTATATCTAAAATTAGAATATCTAAAACATCACACTTTTAATATTTTATTTTTCCAACATTTTCTAACTTCTTTCAATTTCTTCCAACATCCAACTATTAAATTCTAACAAAGAGAATAGAGCATAAGGCCAAAAATTTTTAGAGCCTCAATAGTACTGATACATACAAAAGCAGAATGAAACTCTCAAACTCATATAAAAGTCAAGGTAAGCTTTTTTTTGTTGGTAGGGTGACTTGAACTCAAGACTTAAAAATCTTAAGTGTGAAGTTATTGCAAAAAAAAAAAATCGATTTCCGTGATTTTCTCACATTCTCATGATCACTCGAGTAATTTACCCAAATAGGACTAAAACATAATAACTTTCTCAATATAAGACCATATGTTTTTATTTTCCAATATAGGACTATTGGTCATTATCTATTAATTATTATTCATTTAAATGTCGAGCATTACTTGGACATTATTTTTCTTACTAGTCATTATTAAGTCCTATCTAGGAAATAAAAACATTTAAGTCCTACATTAGGAAATGACTTATATTTTAGTCCTATTGAGTGCAAATTTCACTTTTGATATCTGTAAATACAATCCATTTAAGCATGGAGTAGGTATTGCATTCTAAATACATTCCAATCCTCTTACACTTTACCACTATCATCTTCTCATTACATCACAATTTTGATGATGGATGTACATGTACTACATTTCATCCGTTAATACTGCGGAGTACAGATTTATATATATTCAATTTAAACAATCTGGTTCTGGCCTTTTTAAGAGTAGAGTGTAGAGATCGAAATTGAAACACAGAAACAAATTCTATTCAATTTTTTTAATTCGGTTTAAATTTTTTATGATTCAGTTTATTTCAATTATTTTTCAATAGGTTTTGACTTGGTTGACAATTTTCAAACACAATCCTACACATATTCAAAACTAACATGCACTAGGTGTTCGAGATTTGACTTCAACTTCCCTACATTAAGAAACAATCGATGTATTAGGGTTTACACAATTTAAAAAGAACATCTTTTTGGATCGGAGGGAGTATTTCAATCAAAGTTATCAAACAATTGACTAATGCCATTTGAAAACATTGTTCCCAATCAACACGATACAGACCTTCCCTACATAACCTTGGGTAACCTTTAATAGAGAGAGGTGAGAGTCACTCCGAGGACACAGATGAAATGGCAATATTTAAACAAAAACATAAAGAAATGTGGACACAGGTAATAACTGACACTGATATGATTAAATAAATCGACGAGTTTGGGTGTTTTAAAAAGGTAAAAACAATCATATGCTAACAGAGAAGGAACGCTAACAGGCCACCGCGAACTAGGTGGCCTTGTAGTCCTTCCTTAAAAAAAGAAGCTAACAAAAGCATTACCCCCACCCCAACCCCCCCCCCCCCCCAATTGACCTTTTCCATACACCAGCAAACAAAACTAGGCTCAGAAATCCCCCAGTTTCCGGGAACAAGATCCAAGCACAGCCGACTCCATGAGAGCAAACTTTAGTAGTAGAGTGAGAGACAGAGAGACAGCATTGACTGACTAAATAATACTCACCCAGAAATAGAGAAGGCGCGGCCAATCATCCCTTGGGTCCAAGTGGCTGTCTCCTTGAGTTGTTCGTCATCGGATTGAAGACATTCCCCCAAAAACTCATTGCAAAACCCACGATCGCTCAACAATGACTTCACATTTGACCCTAGCGCATCCACCACATCCCCTAACACTGCAACTGCTGCTCTCGTAACACTCTCATACCTACAAACAAATATAGAAATATACGCATGTAAAAGAAAATTTTGAATGGTGGAGAAACCCAAACTCATTTTCAAGGAACTGGATGGTGGAAAAGCACCTATTCCGGTCTTGGGCAACAAATTCCAGGAACTGCAGAAGATGGGCTGCATGAGGCAGCATCAAATCAGGCTTGGAATTCTTGAACCCCTGCAATATCCCAGAATATGCCTCAAAAATACTACGCCTCAGCATGTTACCATACTCGGACATCTCCTCGTCTCCGTAATCCAGGTTTGCACACACTTCGGCCGCACTCTTCATCATTGGCAATGCAAACTCCACATACTTCTCAAAGTGTTCCCCTATGGCAAGCGCAATATCACCAAAACACGCAAATATTGGAGGCTTTACGGAACGGTGCAGCTCGCCGCTGGACAAGTCTTTGAGTAAAAGTGTCATGATACCATCACAATAAGGTAAGATCTTGTCATCCAAGGCACGGCAGATATCCCCAACGACTCCCACTGAGATGGCACACACTTGGTATTCTTCAAAATTCTGAAGTCCCATCTCAAGGTACTTGTACAAGTCCGACATGTACTTCTCAAACTGTGGTCCAGTCGCGTAGGCTAAGGCACCAATAGCAAGCATGGCTTCTTCGTGAACGACCGAGCTACGGCATGTGAATATCCTGAGGAATATCATCATGATCTGATCTGCAGCCTGGAGTATCAAAGACTTTGTTTCCTCAGTGCTGCTGAGCCTCTGGATGATAACCTGGAGAACACCACAAAGTGAAGCTTGTAAATCTCCCTGTTTTCCTCTGTCGTCTGAAGATAAAACCTGAAGGTCAATGGTTTGAGCCAATTTGTTCATAATGACGGGGCAAAGCTGTGCAATAACAGGGGCAGTTTCTGAGAGGTTGCAGCATCTGACAATTTCATTCAAGGTCTCATATGCCGAGGAGCGGAGTTTGGTATCAGTTGAATCCATACGGTCTGCTGCAATAACCAGGGAGCCTATGAGATCCGGAATGTATGGTGTCAGCAGAGAGGAAGCAGGTCCTGCATCCTCGTAACCTTGAGCCAGAAAATAGATGGCCCCACAAACCTTTTCAGCAACATGGGGTGCATCCTTGAGGCTTTCCAACAATACCCCTGCAACCCTCTGGAGGTTGTTGGCTGAGAGCACAGTATATCCAGAAATGGGTCTGTGCAATAACTCAAAAATACGACTGAGTGTCCAAGCAGTGGTATCTCTCACGTGGCTGTTTTCATCTTTCATGGCATTGAGGAGAAAATCAAAGCCAGATGTCACCATGGGAGAGAGCTTCTCAAGGCTTGGGCCATCGATGATTGATCCAAATGCATAAGTTGCAGCTTCACGAGACCTCCAATCCGCCTTTAGTATGTTAGCTTCAACGAACGGCATCACCAATGGCACAACAGAATCTCGAACAGTCCTGGATACAAGACCAAGACATGTACCACCAGCCATGGACAAATTCCAAATATCATCATCATGATCCTGTTCTTCATCCTGCTTCAGTAAAGTCTCTAGCAACATAGGAACTAAAAATGGGAGCGATTTCTCAATGAAATGGGAGTGTGGGGCAGCAGACACCCCACTCTCGGAGTCTTCATTTAATTCCTGAAGCTCTATCTCTTCGTCGCATATAGAACTCCACAACTCAATAGCTTGAAGAGCAACAGCCTCTACATCTTCTTTGATTGCCTTTGATGACAGATCAACTATAATCTGCATATATGGCCCAAGAACCTCATAATATGTTGACGCAATAGAGACAAGACACTCAAAAGCAGCTTGTCTAATCTCCACTTCCTTAGCTGTAGTTGCCTCACAAATCACCTTCATGATGTAATCCCGCTCCATCTGATTCTGAAAGTTTGTTTGTGCAAAATCCAGTGCATTGAATAAAGCCCTAGTTGCAACAAGCCGAATTTCAGGGCTCTGTTCTCCCACAGTCATGCCCGACGCTACAGCAGTCAGTACAGCATTTACTTCCTCTTGGACAAGATCATGGTGAGATATCTCCTCACAAACATAGCCAAGCGTTTCCAGAGTAGCCTGCTTGAGAGACGCAAGGCTGCCTGGTTGGGTCATATTTGCAAGTAATGTTCCAACAAGTTCTGGCCACTCTTTTCGTGGAATTTCAATCGAAGCAATCTTGGCAATGACTTGGGAAGATGTGTGACTGGCATCACGCACAGAAGATTTAAGTGTGTTAAGGAGAAGGTTTTTTATTTGGGACTTGATTGAAATATCAATAGCAGTCCACTGTTGAACAAGGTGTTCTTTCCTGGAAGATTCCTTTGCATCCAAAGAGTTCTTAAGAACGAGACCAGCCAGTCTCCGAGATTCAGTAGGTTTGCTGTCATTGGAGAGCTCAACTGCCAATGACAAAAGAAACACTGGCAGGTTCTGCTCTTTGAACTGAGATAGGGTAGCCTCTGCTTCAGTCCGGGTCTTTGCATCTGCTGACTGAGCAGATATTAAAAAGTTGGTGATCTCCATAGCCATTCCTTCTCTGTCAAAAAATAGTTGTAGATTTTAAGAGAATCGAATTCATCAGCCAGCAGCCATGCCTTGTACATTAATACATAAGCTACCGAGTTCCACTAACAGAGTACTCATATTGAACTAAACTCAATGCATTTACATCATATAAAGAATGGTTCAAACTCAAAAAAATAACATAAACTTCACTCACAGAAATACCCTCCTACAAGCCATATGCAAGAAAGAGGACAGAAAGGGTTTACAATTCCATCAACTCAGCTTGCACAGATTAGGTGAGGAAAAGCAACAACAACAAGAAAAAAACAATAGCAAATTTTAAACCCTATTCTCAGCTTCACAAGCCAATAATTAACCAGAAACCAATATAGTTGGCCAGTAAAATCCGAATCTGGAGCTTAAACGCTAGAATACACCAAATCTAGCAAAAAACGATTGACATATAGAATAAAACAAACGAAAGAGGATAGATCTAGACGCCAAAACATAGCAGGCGCGAAACAAGACAAATCGAAAGAAGAAAAAAACATCAAATGGAGCGAGACCTTGCCATAACGAAACTTCATAAAATCGATAAGCATGAAAACAAGAGATGAAATGGATCTGCGCACTGAAGCGAATGAGAAAAATACCTTCCGCGCACTGAACCCTTCAAATTCGACCGTCGACAACCAGAGCAGCTGGCTAGGGTTTGCTCCCCGGTTCTTCCCCTACTTCCTTGGATCGGCGGGCGGGATCAGTGGATTGAGCCCAATCGAACAGGGAAGAGCTTTATGTATACGATTGAATACTGGTTTGAATTTGTGGATTGGCAGTTCGAGGAATGGCAGGGAAGTAGGGTATTTCGAAATGGGGAAGAAGCGGGAGGAAGCGGAAACTTCTTCGTATTCGGATATATAGACTGTGTGAGAGTAGAGAGAGAGAGCGAAAAAGGGACCATTCACTAATGGGCTGAATACGAAGAGTGGAGCCCAGCCCAACTTCAAGATCCATATTCGGTGAACCAATATCTCCCTTTATGACATTTTATTTATTGCCCTAAACATCATTGTATTTTTAAAAAATGGCATTTGAACTTTGAACGGCCTCGTTTGGATGGTGGCCGATTGGTCCAAAAATCGCTGTTTGACCAATATTGAATTCTTGGACCAGTCGAAGAGTAAAAAAAAAAAGTTACTTGGCAATTGGTTTCGCAATCTCAAACAACCAAAATTAAAATGTCGAGTTTTGAAAAGTTTGTAATCGGTTGTTGAGAATATTTCCTTTTTTGCCCATTTTGTGTCTCTCTATTTTCTAGGCCAAATTAAATGACTAAAACCCAGTTGGAAACATATCATTTATTAGTGCATAGACAAAGTGAATTTGAGCCGGGACAACCAAGATTCATTTTATCCGACACTCATTTTAATGAGGGAAAAAAAGAGAGTATTTTAGAAAGGATTGGTAAGCACTCCCTCATATCCTCTAACACTCTGTTTAGTACATGAAATTCAAATTGAAAACAACAATTCCAATTTTGTTGTTTGGTAGCACAAAAATATGTGGATTTGGAATTGATAATGCCAAAAATAAATTGGAATGGGAAAATTCAATTTCATCCAAATCAATTTCAAAGAATTTTAATTTCAATTCAATTACAATTCCGTCAATTTTGTATACTAAACAGAACCTAAGGGTTCGTTTAATATATGGAATTGATGGAATTGGAATTGAAATCCATGAGATTCAATTCCATAGAATTTAATTCTGCCGATTCCAATTCATATTTTGCACTATCAATTCTAAATCCACATAATTTTTGTGCTACCAAACAACAAAATTGGAATTGAAGTCCTCAATTCCAATTCCATAGTTTCAATTATGTGTACCAAACGGGGCCTAAGAGTTTCTTTGTATCATAGCTGCCAATATCAAACTTCATCATACACTTGTTTCTGTTTCACTATATTTCACTTTGTATTACACAAAAAAAAAGAGAGGATATTTACATGCATCAATACTGCTCATTCTCCAAGATTATGTACTCTCTCTTATACCCGCAAATCCCAAACTAATTTTGATTCAACCTAAACAAAAAAATGCAGAGTGTAGGCACGTAAAATGGCCTACGTACGGTTGCACGGGCAGACGAGACCGACCCACAGGCTCTCAATAACAACAGCCCATGAAAAAAAGAGGAAAACTTGATGATATGTCTCTATTGTTAATCTTTTCTATGTCTTCTGCCGCTGCTCGGTGAGATGTTGGCGCGCTTTCTGGTAAAGGTCTGTTGTGTCAGCATGTGTGGGGTCCAGACATAGGACTGCCTGACAATCTCGGATAGCCGACGTGTGGTCACCTATGGAATCATAAAATGCTGCTCGAAGATGGAGTAGCTGTATGTCAGGCCTGAAGGCTATGGCTCTGCTCAGCTCCGCGATGGCTTCTGCTTCCTTGTGGTCATCCATCAGAACTGAAATACAAATGAATTGGTTGAATGAGATCCAAATGTGGCATTCTCTTTCATTCTTTTGAGCCAAAGAGTAACACAGATACACTATTTTATCTGTTGTTCAACAAAGTTGAGTAGGTGTGTTTACTAGATAATTTGCCTCATAAGAAGAAAAATTCATCTACCAAACAGGCATTTGGCTTCAAATACAGGTACAGTATGTGCTCTTTTTTTCCACAGTCCATTCAATATTATACCCCACAAAAACTTACCTGCCGCTCTGTATCTATAAGGGTAGGTACGGAGGGGATCAAGCTTCGTTGCCATGATAAGGTCACTTTTTGCCATTTCACGGTCACAATATTCAGACCGTTTTTCATAAGCTGACGCGTTATCCCTTGCCTTCTCAATTAGCTTAGTCATCTCATCATATGCAGCTTGTCGCTGGTTCTTGAGATGGTATACACGTGCCAGGCCTTGATGGGCCCGCGTATGCTTGATATCGATCGCATTCATGTAGCAATCAATGGCATTATCAAGCTTGTCAATATCTACAAAAATACTCGCAAGATTACTTAGAGCCTGCAAGAACCCACAATAGTTAAGTGCATCAGGAGGAGGATTATGGGTAAACCGAATATGTTACGTATAGAAACAGAATGTTCTTCACCTGGCCTTTCCTAAGGCCATCAGAAGGGCACCTAAGAGCTTCCTCTAACAGCTCTATAACATACATAGAAGATTCCGTATCACGATTCGTTTCAGATAAAACATATGCTTTTAGGAAATAGGCTTCGAAGGATCTCTGGACTGAGATTGATTCTTCAGCTTTACCAATTGCTTCCTCATGCAAACCTGTGTCATATAATATCCAACCTTCGTACACTAGTCTCTCGTGTTCATATCTAGCTTGGTTTCTTGCTGTTCTCAGGCTTCTCATTGCAGCCTTATGGCAATTCAACCTATAAGATCCCCAAGTGTAAATCACTGAGAAAATCATCATTGCACAAAAGCATGACATGGTTTGACAAGAAAGCACTGTCCAAATGATTCTAGTAAGAAATGCATTGGATAAGTGATTCATTTAAAAAAGGATTAATTACATTTGACTCTCTTTTTTTCGATCAAATTATAAAACAGTCCCTCAAGTTTATATACATTACAAACAGAACTTTTGATTTGTCAAAGATGGTGCCCTTAACACCAAAATATGATACTCCCTCCGTCCCTAAATAATCTTCCTTGTTTGACTCTCCCGGAGAAAGAAAAGTATTGAAAAGTGAAAAGAGTGGTTAAAATTTGATGAGAGGAGAGAGATTCTTTTTAGCCACATGGTTCTTTCCTTTAAAAGAAAGTGAAGATTATTCTGAAACGAAGAAAGAAGATTATTTAGGGACGGAGGGGGTAGAATATAACGATATTAGCAATAATTACATGTCTTGGTCTGATTTTTTTTATTTGTATTGCATCTCAAAAATTAATGTTTAAGGGGTTTTTCAGTTTAAAAAAATGGGACAAGTGCTAAGAGTAATTTCGTCCGAAATTTCTCAATTCCTACTAATATCATAATATCCTATCATCTTTTGGTGCCATTTATGGAATATTTGGCTGTCAAGGGTGCACTAGTTTTTCTCATAATCTGACCAATAAGTTTATGTAATTAACCCTTTAAGAAAGAAGCCAATAAAACAGTTTTGCTTACCGCAAAAGGAGAAGAGACTTCCTGAATTGTAGGAGACTCTTTCCTGGATCATTAGACAACATATGGTGTATAACTGCTAGAGAGCCAATATCATCAACACAAGACCATCGATCATACAGTTGCATCCAGCAATCGGCTTGGTTCCACTGCTGAACTGCATTACACAGTAGCTCCACCAAATGATCCCCTTGCAATTTCCCATGGAACATCATGTAATGAGGTTCCAAAGTCAACAGTGCCCTCACATCTCTTAATGCCCCGATGTAATCCTTCAAGGCAATTAAGAACCAAGCACGGAGTTCCAAGCAGTCGGGAGAAACCTTGAAACCAATTATTCTGTTGATCTCTGAGATAGCGGCCTCGATTTTGTTATCCTCCACCATTGAAACAGCTCTATACTTGTAAGGGTAAAAGAGTGTGGGGTCCAATTCCGTAGCCACATTCAAGTCCACCATCTTTTCTCTCCCACTGCAATACAGAGACCGTTCTTGATACATCCACCCACATGGTGTGTGGTCATGTATGAGTGAGCTCATCAGCTTATATGCCTTGTAAGTGTGTCCACGCTTGTACTTTCCCCTGGCAAAACCGACTAATGAATAAACATGGCCTGCCTCAACAGCCGCCTTGAACCATTGTTGAGCATCTTTGTACTCTTTCCTCTGAAGCATCACGCAACCCAACAGGTGTGACGCAAGTTGCTTTTGCCATTCTTCAGTTGCACACTCCCCTAATCTTTCTAACAGCATCACCGTTGTGTTTGATCTCATATCATTCTCCATGGCAGTCTCACTCAAAAAATAGTATAGTAAAAAGGAAGCATGTCCTACCGAAGCTAACCTTTTGCTCCCTTCTGAACTACAGAAGAGACTTGATACGTTTGGGTTTTGCATCGACATGGGAAGTTCTCTCAAGAAAACCTGCAGGCAAGCTGCGACTAGAAGATAAGCGGACTCCTCTAACCCATATTCTATAAGCAATGCAGCATCTTCTATGTCAAAAACAGAAGAGGCCAAATATGCATCGCAAGCAGATTTCATTTCCTCACAGCAGAACCTGTTGGCCAATGATAAGAGCTCTAAGACGACTTCCGGTTCAAAAGAATCAACGGTCTTTGTCCGGCTGAAGACCTCAGCAGCTTTCATTGCCTTTGTGGAGAACCCGTTTTGGGAGAAGTATATCTTTTCCCTCTTCGTCTCCATAAAGCCACCATACAGCATGGTTTTGAATGGTGTTGAAAGTGAGGCAACCTTGAACCTACTACACCTAATCTCATCATCCCCAATGCAAAATGACACATCATAATAATCATCATCATCTTCATCATCATCATCTTCTTTTTCTCCAGAATGCTTCGGCGAGGGGGAGATTTCCTCATCTTCCTCTATAGAATATTCGTCACCCTCCTTGTTTATACATGCTGTTCTAAGACATGCACAACGGTCGTTAGCTGATTCAGGATTATATCCTGGCACCAGAGAGCATCTTGGGCATTCCATACTACGTGTACAACAGTCCATAGCCGATACCCCAATAAGCTCGTTCTCTCTCCTCTCATACCTCAACCACGCCGAAAGAACAACCTTAGAATGAACATCAACGGCATGTTTCCTGGCAGAAACCAGGCTCGCCCTGAACATCTTAGGGTCCGCCAACCCCTTGAATACAGCGCATTGCTCTAGAAACACCCTAGACTTCTCAAATTGGGGACAACCCTCAATCTTAAGATAGAGTTCGGATAAGGTCTGAACGAAATCTAAGGGTTTGAGGCAGGGGTCGATCTGGGGCTCCATGAGGTCAGCCTGGGGGAGGCCGTAAGCTGTTAGGGCTTCGGCTAAGGTGGCTGGATCCACATTATTGCTAGAGTGCTGGATGCTCTGGAAATTCCGAGTGGATCTTGACCTAATAGGGTTGCCCTTCAAATGGTCGTGTAAGTGCTGGAAAACACCGCTAACGCCGCCCCCAGCGGTGGTCCCCGGATTCAGGGCACAAACCTGCAAGCCCTTGCACCCGTCCATCATCTTCAAACTACGCATCGAGGTAAATAAATTGTGCTGCATCTTCTCTTACCCTTACATCCAAAAAAAATCAGGAAAATTTGAAATCAGCTAGAAAGTAAGAACCCCCCCATCAGAGAGAAAAAAAAAGGATGAATCTTACCCGGAACCATGGAGAAGATGACGAAATGATGAAGAAACAAACAGAGCGCTAGGATGCGTTTGTTCCTTTACTTCTCCTCCTCTTCTCACAATAATTTAAATAAAAAAAAAATTAAAAAAAAAACTTCAGCTACGGAAATTGAAATGTCAATTGGAGGCGGCGGTGGCCGGTAAAACGGCCACGCACTTCCTAATTTCCGGTGTTAATAATGGGCTATCTCCTGTTCTCTCTCGTCGTCCCCTGTCTGCTTTTTTCCGCTTTCTCTCTCTACCTTTTCCCCTCTGTTTCTATCTATGGTTGCGTGCACGGAGACGAAATGCGAAGCGGGTAAAGGTCCGTTAGAAATGGAGAACCGCTGAAGAGATTCGGCCACGTTTGGGCGCGAGTTGTTCCTCTCTTCCCAATTTGCCATTATTTCTTTCTTTCCAAGTGGGATTGGCATCTTCTGTGCATTGGATGGTGATTATTTAAAGGGCATCTTCTTATCAGTTTTTATCCTTATTACCTACGGAGTATATTTATATAGAACTAAAATATCGAATTTCTGTAAATATAAACATTGACATTGCGGAATGTCATAAGTTGACATTGTAGGTAGAAGAGTTTTTTAGAGTATTTTTTGGCATTAAATTGGTGTCAACACGTAATACTAAAATGTTTTTCGCAATGCCAATTACTATAATGCCTAGTGATGTCAAGATACACAAAATCAATGCCAAAAATATGTTTTACAACCCTAAAAAATCATTCTAAAATGAAAGTTAATACTTGAAAAGCTTGATTTGTGAACCCTCATCGTCAATGGAGTCACGTTAAGAATCCATCGATGCTAGTGCCAATACACACCTAATCCCTTGCCATCAACAGTGCCATGACAATCGTCGGGGCTAGGGTTCGAAACCCTAGCTCATAATTTTTCTTGGTTAGATCCAGTGCACAACAAATGCAAAGAGAGGGGGGGGTGTGGCTACGCTAGTGGTGGACTGGATGTTAAGAGTCTTGGGTCTCTTGGAGTTGTATTAGGATGAATTGTAATGTTGCAAAGCAACGTTATGAAGATGATATAGAAACATGAAGAACGAATTTCATAGATTAAATGAATTGCATGGGGACACGCTTTCGTATTAAAGTTATTTGAAGGATATAACAGAGTACTTTAATTAGATAAAACGTTAATTCAAGTACGAATACGCAAATATATATATATACATATATATATATATATATATATATATATATATATATATATATATATATATATATATATATATATATATATATAGGGACCGGTTCCTGTAAGAATGGGTCTTGTGGAGAGAAATGAGAATAATTCTTAACCATTGGATTCAGTGCATCAGACGGCTCAGATTTAAAAGTCTTGATAATAAACTACCGTGTTGTTTATGGAAAGGAATACCACATGCGCACAAAAATAGGTATTTAGGGGTAAATATGTAAAAAATGATGCATTAAAGTAGCTAATTCTTGAACGCTATCTACCATTCACGTCTCCACCTATTGCGCTGATAAAGTAGAAAAATTCCAATCCAGATGCAATGAAAGTTTTTTCCAATCGTTGATGAAAGATACACTGACGACATGAGAAGCTGCACCATCTAGGAAGAAGGCGAGACGAAACATCATATCTACGAATACAGGTTCAAATATATAATTAAGTTTTCAAAAAAAATTAATTTTTTATGGGGGGAGGGGGCGGCGATGCATATTAACAATAAAGATCAACATTAAATGTATTATTCATGTTGAAAATTTGTTCGTGGGTTTATGCAATTTGGGGGTTTTTATCAAAAAAATAGTGATATTGTGATTTAGGGTTTGAGTTTTTAAAATAATTTGGGCACTTTGATTTTATAACATATAAAGAACTAATCGGGATTATTTTCTAATTACTTGATGCTTTAGAGGTGTCAAGCTTGTATATAGGTCAAAGTGATTTGTAGTGCATATTTCTAAATGCATTATGTATAACTTAATTGTATATTTGTTTAGATAATGTGCGTTGTCTGGATCCGTAAATGCATTTTCTAGAAACTAGTTTGGGAATACACTAGTGTTTACTTGAAATTCATAGACTGCTCGAAATGCACCTTTTTAAATTCATGATGCATGTTTGTGGCATTCTTTAATTTAGATATTGCATTCCTCAGCTTTTTTTTTACCTTGTGGCATGTTAAATTGAATATCTACATTGTGTATGTGTGTTTATGCACTGCAGTTTTAGTAGAAGTGCGTACAATGAAACTCGTTGAGCATTTCAGTGAATTGCTTTTTGAAACATCAATTTCTCAGCTCACTCAAATGCATACTAGCCCAATAAACATTGAGTTGTTATGTTTTCCCTTTCTTATTACTTTAATCTGAATTTAAAATAGATATAAGAGTTTTAAAGTTGGATCGATTAAGATTAATTATTGATTTTTTTTAATTCTTTTGAAATATCTTGTTAAATGTTGGTCTTGTTCCACCAAGATTTGTATAATTCGAGGCTATATGGACTGTTTTACAAAAAGTATGTATGATTGATGACCATATATTAACATCTTATATGTATATTGTGCAGGTTGGACATGAACATATGCATTGAAAACGACCTATATTTTTGTAAAGAATAACAAATGGTAACATCTCAAGTTCTTAGAGGTGGACATGCAAATGAAAAATACAGCTAATGAGTTGCAGAGTATGTTGGTATAGAGCTCGATCGAAGAGGGAAAAATGGAAGTTAATGAATAGTAAACCATGTGTCTATGTCGATATTGTAATGAATTAAGTCCCATGACAACAAGATATTCTGTGTGGAAAAATATATATCTTGAAACTATTTTTTATTAATTTTTTTTTACATGTAATTGATGAATCTCATACACAATTTGAAGTGTGCATTTAGAAAGAAAATATGCAGTATTAATGATATATTGCATTATTTGTATTTTTAATGTTCACTCTTTTAATGCTATTATTTTTACTTCATGTGTTTATAATTTCTCCATCCTCAAACTCAAATCAGCAATATTTCACTTTCTCAGGTGCATTCTTTGTTTCTTACTATTAAACACTCTAAATGTGCACATTTACATATGAATGCACTGTGATGGTACAAAACTGCACTATGATACATGATAAATGCATTGTTATTTGACTATTTAGATTTTATTTTATTAATTTGTGGTTTAGTAAAAAATGATTCTTAAGTGACTGTGAATGTGATGAAAAAGTTAGGGAATATGTTGTGTTGAGAATAAGTGTAATATAAATTTGAGAAATAATTTGCCTATGCAGGATTCGAACCCACATCCGTATTACGTACTGCTCTACCATTTGAGCTAATAGGCAATTTTTGGTTTTTTTTTTCAAAGTGAATCTCACCATACACTTAAACCCATTAAGTACAAATTTTAGTCTTTTAAAATTGACATCATTCAATGTATTTCCAACTCGTATTTAAATGTATCTGATAATATTTTAAATGCATCATCATTTATAGAATATACAAATGCATCATATTTGTGTCAGGAAAAGTTCACCATCAGATGCATTTATTTTGATTTTGAGAATGCATAGTAACAAGTTGTGTTACCTTAAATTTGATAATGCATTACCCTGAATTTGATAATTCACTATCACATATTCATACTCCTATATATTTCTCTCAAATATACTTCAATGTCAACAGAAAAGTCAAATAAAAAGTAAAAAAGGAAAAAAACAGCATTATACACCTCGAATGAACAACAAAAATATATCAAACCACAACACTTATGTGAATATAATATTTGCAACTTTATTATGCATCGCACTATTAACTAGTTTAGAATGCAGTACTGTGAGGCAAAAAGAAAAATCCTTGTTATATCCCTCAAGAAAAAAAGATTGCAGTATAATGCACTCAATAATTCATATAATGCATACTGTGATGATTTACAGAGCTTTGTAAAGAATCATCCTGGTTATATCACTTAAGAAAAAAAGATTGCAGTATAATGCACTGAATATTTCATATAATGCACACTGTGATGATTTACAGAGCTTTGTAAAGAATCATCCTGGTTATATTCCTCAAGAAAAAACAACACAAATATGAGGTGTCATGATGTGCATGTTTTTTGTACAATTGTATTTTTTAATGCATACAAAATGGTATTTATATTCTAAGTCTTATATAAGCATAAAGATGAGCTTATACACAATCAAGATAATATTGTGCAAAAAAATTTAAAATATAATCTTTGCACGAGTATGATGCACTACTATCTACATCAAAATGCAGTATTGTGTAAAAATATAATTTATAAATTGATAAAAGAAAATCGGACATAACTGATATTAAAAGGCTAGAAGAAGATTCCATCACAAGACGCATCCATACTCCACCTAAAATAGAGATAAGAAACGACATTCAGAGATAGTGTAAAGATGAAGTCACCATGTTTTATGGTTATGGGGCAGAATTTTAGACATATGCATTACAAAGCACTAGAAATACATTATTGCCTTTTAGCAATGCATTACCCGAACACATATGTATTCTCTCTCAAGAGGATCAAACAAATTTCTACTGAAAAATTACAGAAGAACAAAACAAAATTGTACTGATTACAAAAATAACAACAAATATCAAAAGAATCTGCAAAAAAGACTCTGTGGTTGTCAAAAAATTAATATATAAGATGTTATAAGCAATAATCATCTCGAAACTCAGAGAAATAAACCCGATTGATCAAGAACTGAAACCCCCAAATATATAGATTAATGAAATTCGTGATTTAGAATGCATTTTTCCCTTATATTTCAACCCCCAAAGTATATCTCTAAAATACTATACTGTAAAAGACAAAAACATTATCACCAAATCGACATAAATACAATTGGATGATCAAGAATTAAACCCCCAAAATATATGGATAATGAAATTCTTGATTCAGAACATAAAAATTGAAAATACCTGATAGCGATGTGGAATCCATGAAATATCTTCTCATTTGAAGATTACAAGATAGTGTAGAGAAGTATCAATTAGATCTATTGAGTTCTA